GAGCGTGGAGAAAGAGAGAAAGAAAGAGACAGACAGAAAGAGAGAAAGAGAGAGGGGGGTGGGGTGTTTATATTATAATAAAAATAATTGATTCGCGTCATTTTGTCTCTGCCTGAAAAGGCGCTTCGTTTTCCTTCATGTCATCATGGGATAGAACACTTGAAGCTGGCCAAAATATTAAATATACGTCACTGGCTAGAACCGGCAGTGGACGCTCCCCCTAAACAAAGCTTTATATAAATAGTGCCGTAAAAAATTTGTTGCACAACTTATTCTCAAATATCTTTTTAATGTGTGAATCAATGTCACTCGTATTTTGCACAGCAGTTTGTATCGATTTGTCTTAACTAAATCATATTTGTCCACAACAATTGAGGCTAGATTAAAAAACTTTTCTTTTTTAATTTATATAAAGTACTACAAATCTCCTTCACGTGGGAAAAGGAATTGTTCACAGCACTTCCTGCTTCTCACACATATGTTGTGTACACATGTGGCTTACGTCACTGCTCACCAATGACATTTTTAGTGGCAAAACTAATTACAAGAAATTAATTGATAGTGAACACTTTTATGCAATAAAAGTTCTCAAAACATGCGTTCAATAAAGATAATCTCACAATTAGAAAAATAATGACGGACTTCCTTTTAAAAGCGATATTATCCCAGCTTTAAACCTTTTAAAATCAGTAGACACCACCTGTAGAAATTCTCTCCAGAATCGCGCCAACAACAGCTGCGCCGTCAAAACTGAAGCATATTTAGAAGGACAGAAACATCATGCTCAACTCGAAGATCACAGTAATGCGCTCACTGATCATCTCAATTATTTTTATACGCTAGCGAGTCGTGGACAGTTTATGGGGGGATGTCAAATGCTTTTTAAAAAAGTGAAAACGTACCTAGTATCAAACCTTTATTTAAAGTGAACAAGTACCAAACTGCACAAAGCTGGTGAAATGGAGCCGCCTAAAACCAATCAAAATGGAGACTTCTATAGTTGTCAGCATTGTTTCACTATTGCCCAAATCAATTTCTGGGCATTTCCGGATTCATTATTTAAATTAAGATATATGTATATCCAGGATGCCTGACAAGTTACAGTGTAGTTTCATTTTGTTTGATTATTTCCTTACTAGT